GCTTTGCCAATACTTTTGCTTGGGATTGATTCTAACATCCTATTCTTAGGCAGCTTTTACTTAAAGGGAAAAGAGGACCGAACAAAGCCTCATTTCCACTGTCTCATCAGGCCGACCATTTCAAAGTTTATGAAGATTTTTCACGACCATAGCAGCGGCGAAACAGAATAAAGGATACACTACAAGTACTACATCCAGCACAAGATTTACTTCTTTGGTTAGTGCACGTTGCCACTGAGAATGAACTATGCTATTTTCATGAAACCTGTCTCTGCCAGATTAAAGGACTACAAACAAGAAATAAAACAGATCCATTTTTTACACAATAGTCTACCTGCTTTCGAAACGCAAAATGAACCTGCTGACTGCATTCGCAGTAATATTTGCTTCAATTATTACAATAGACATTAACACCTCTCCTACTCTTAACAGCCTAGAACGATTTCTATATGTGAGTCATAGGCGATTGAAACATCATTTAGTAAACCAACTATTTTTTACTTTATATTACGCCTTTGTGAATTTTTTAACCATGTAAATAGATAAGCATAAATATACTTCATGATTATTATCATTAATTGGGCTGATAAGATTACTTTTATCGTTGTACGTAGAGATACTTTGTGTTCGCATGTGGCGCCTGAAGACGAACAGAGTTATATCCCAAAAGCCGGGCTAATATGTTGATACTCTGACTATGCGGAGTAAACCCGTTTGTGATTATATAGATGAAGAATTATGTTCCCGTTTAAAACAATCCAATCATGTTTTTTAAATTGTATACATAAACCTATTGCAGTCTACACAAATAAAATCAACGGATATGCATAGATTGCATCTGGCATGGCCTGCTTAAACGGCGTCCAAGTAAAGTAGGAGCAATGGGGGGAGGGTGCAATACGTCCTAAAATTCGGTTATGCATGAGTCATGCATTAACAGGACTCTCGCACTGATGAATATTTTAAACTGGTTCATTATTTCCTGTATACTCCTCGTCTTTACGTATCCTGTCCGTGATCTTTGCGTGAATCAAGTACTGAATTAAACAGTCTGATTCAGTCACTTAGTTCTAAATGACGATAAACAGCCGTTATATAACTCTCTCGCCTGCTGAGTATCAAAACATAAAGCTGCCATAAACAAGCTCGTACAATCTATGCTCAAGGATTCGGTTCATTAACCGCACTTTATGCAACGTAGAAAATCAGGTGCACAATTTTGGAAGAATTTTCATGCTGGTGATTTTTCATTAATTATTTTTCGTTCCTCTTTGTATTGGTGTAAAGCCTTTGCTTCTGCAGATTGAGAAATCACAGCTGCAATGGTTTGGCCATGTGCTGCGAATGCCTCCAGAAAGGAAGGCTAAACAACTGTTTCTTGCAAATCTGACCGACAGAAGGCCCAGGGGACGGCCAAGATTAACCTGGTGCAAATATACGGAAGGAGTCTGCTCCAGGCTCTAGTTGTCTTCTGCCAAAGCTCAGACTCTGGCACAAGATCTGGAACGTTGGAAGCTCTGTCTGACGCGTTTGCCTCCGCGACCCGAAAGAAGCGGCGATGGAAGATGAAGAAGAAGATGAAGATATTTTTCATTCCCCTTTGTTGTTCTTGTCTTAGTTGAAACTTAGAACTGTTTGGCGCCATAGCTGATAAGTGCGGAAGTATTATCTGTCACATCACAAGCTAAAAAACCTGATTGATGAGATGGTTTTACAGTGAGACTACGTTTAAAATTCCTCGCTATTTGTGAGTTTAGGTTCAGGCTTAGACAGCGCATAACGGGGAATTGGGAAACCAACCCCATTTTGAACTGGCCCGTACATACCCATTAATTGTATTGCTGCAACCTGAAACAGATTTGTACATATATAAATTTATCTTAAAGATTATAAAAGCATTCACATGTTTGCATTCGCTGCTATGTATTTTGATGGAGTGTCCTGCAATAAATATACAACATCAGAAATCATTATTTCAGCCACAGGATTTAGCTGACTATATAATTTCTCGAGAAGTGTGGAGTCATTCATGGTTCATCATCGCTAACCTTATTTAGCATATTTAGAGAAGCATTCATGCCGGCAGCTCAAATAACGACGAACACAACCAGCAATGTGGGTAGATGAAAAACAAAAATATTCAAGTAATTTGAGTTAATATAGCAAATGACATTTGTCAAAAAGTAAAAACATTTTACCTGCCGCAATTGCACCCACCAAAGGAGCAAAGATGAGGTTAATTGGATAATTCCAAGTGGACATAATGAGCACAACCCCAAGCGGCTCCTTAACGATGTAAGCCGAGTCAAGAATCTGCATCAGATTTCTGTTCACCTAAACAAATCAAGTTCAGTGCTGCAGCAGACAACCGCAGTTGTGACCTCCAATGACCTTAAGCCCTGTAATATCTACAACACATGCAGTGAAAAACCAGAATGCGAAATCGACAAATTGTCATCTGAAGCGGACAGTAGCTGCTTGACAAGAGCTTTGATCTGCACTGAAGAATGATACCAACAGTCAACCGTTATCACATGAATAAAACCACTACAGCAGATGGGCTGGTAATTTCTGGCAGTTCAAGAACTGTCCTGCAAAACTATACTTATCGGTGGTTAATCTTGAGACAGTACTGGACACTAATGCTGATCAACCAACAAAAAAGAAACTCAAGATGTTCTGCTGTGTCAAGACGAGTAAAGCCCCTGATATGGAAACAACTCTCCAAAGTCTGTTTAATATGGAGCACTGAGAACTGCAGGAAAATTATGCGTCCTCTTTCACCAATTATCGATCTCAAAAACAACATGCGAAAGAAAATGTGCAGTAATAGCGTCAATATTTAAAGGGATGCATAAGTGACTACTTCAAAAATAGTGGAAACACATTACATTACTGTCCAAGAGTAGAGAAACTGCTCTCATGGATTACCCGTAAAATGTTGAGACAGGCAACTGATGGGAGACTTGGCTCAAATCAAGTACGGTACTGCATTTCGTACGAGGATCTCTTGCCCTGACAAAACCTTCACCTTTCGAAGAATCATGTAATTGGTGAGCAAGGCCGGTGATTACAGTTGTGTTAGCTTGCTTTTTCTCTCGACTCTAATGCTGCAGTTATTCAGTGCAGTTCATCGACCAAAGATATTGGATATCCGATCAAGCGATGGGATACCTGATGCACATCGTTTTTAATTTGCAAGAGAATAATGAGAAAGAATAACAATGCTGAAAATGTGCTTAACAGTCGTAACGGAGGCCAAGACGACGTTCAATGAATGTTTTAAATAAAAAATATTCCTAGCGACTGCATCAAAGTTGCTTGACGATAACATGCAGGGCTGTTGGATTGTCAAACTGGCGACTGATGAAAAATCTGCAGTCGCACTAGATAAGAGTATAAACGAAGGAACAAAGCAGTTGACCGTTCTAACTATGATGATTATGCAGATCGCTCGTAGAGTACCATCTTATCATTTGAACAGATATACACACCACTGCTCATCTGCTTCAAGCATATTTTGTAACCTACTGCTATCGAAATCTGGCTATATGATCGAAGTTCCCAGTCGTGGTTAAAATAATGTAATTTTGCAGAATATGTAACATTGATAGTTTACTCTGTATGTTTATCAACCAACCATAGACAATGCCACAGCCTGTTAACAAAAATATAGCACGGTGTTTAATACCGTTATAGCTGTTAGGTGAATGTGTGATTAAGGCAGGAAACGAATTTTCCTACATAGAATTATAGAAGACGAAGCCAAAAGAATTTGATAACACAAAAACCTAAATACTGATAAACAGTAATATAGCACAGACGCAATAAATACTAACCTCTGTATTTTGGATTTTCCAAATTGCTAGTTTTCAATACTGCAGAAAACAAAAATAATCATCTCTCACTGTCCTAGATTCACACAGCATTATCAAATCATCATTCTACATCTAGCGACCTAAACACTTTTGAAACAATAACAAGGAATTGCGGCTTGCTTAAAGGGTAAAGAGTCCCCTAGGCTGTCAGACGAAAGGACATTATGCAAATACGCATCCAAAATTTTTACACTATAACAGCCAAATAAGAACTTTTCATTTGTATTAACTCATTTCGCATATAGAATTCTGTATGCACAATAACGATATTAAATATATATATTAGAATTACATGTTAGTTTGCATAGTGGAATTTTCAACATGGAAACTCTGTCTAAGACTGGCTGCAAATTTATTGAGATCTATTAAAAAACGAAAGAAAAGGAGGAATAACAGGTCTGCGAAAGGTCTCTATTCACGCCGGCATGCAGAAAAAACACTAATGAGTCTTACCACGTAAAGAACGTCCTTTAGCTATATTTTTATGCAGTGGATGTTCTTTGTATTGTTGAAAATACTGTTTGTGAAGCATATTGTCCTCGAAATTACAGTCTTAACCAGAAGTAAGGCAATCTTCTCAAATGGAGTTCACTCGCACGAATAAACGTTCTAACTCCACGGTGTAAAATGGCGAAATCTCATACACTGAATGCCTCAAAATACATAGGACCGGCTTTGGTAATCACCAGCATGGAGCAAATTCGAATTAGTCGCCAACATATCCCCTTCGAAACACCGACATATCGAATGCGTATCATATAATACGACGCTTTTGGTAGCTTTTCTGCAATCCGTTCTACATGATCACTCCACGTCAATGCGTTATTGATGAGCAAGTCAATTAAACGACACTGGTACCCGTTTAACAGTTCCTGCTCGAGGCGATCCGCGATCTTCATGGCATCCTGTAATGTTTCACTGCTTGTGCTCTGAGCCAGAAATATGCATTCCACACATTTCTGTTTGTTCAAAACGAGTCCGCTGAAATTGGCCCATCAGGAGAGGTTTACAAGATCTTTCGTGCCGGTACTTACGTTCTTTATTCATTTACCACACAAAAGAAATCAGTAAAAAAATTATGAATTCGCTAATACAATTCGCTGTTCATCACCTTTTGAGGAGTGGTCCATTTGCCGATTCCTTCCAACGCAGCTTCAATTTCATTGAGAACCAACATGATTTCGTAGAAATAGCATTCGTATGCAGGCTATAAAAAATCTGAGAATGAAAAATGACTGAAAAGATGTGGTATTGATATTCTACGCGGTGAATATCTTTAAAAACCGCATCGCAGATTTCTTGTTCGTTTTCTGTCAGTAGCAAACGCAACCGTGTTAACTGAGCTTTTCGAAACGATATCGGAAGAGTCTTGCCCGAGTCGAATGTCCGCCGGAGACAATCGATGATCTACAATTCAACAGGTTTTAAAACGACAACTTCCATTCATGCATAGGACATGACACCATGTAAAAAGTTTAAAAATCACAAAGCAAATCAAGTTAAAATAACCATATTGCTGTCATAAAGGAAATCGCGGTGTAACCAATAATATCATCAACTTTAGCCACTTTGCAAAATTGCTGAAATGTTGGCACAATAGATAGGAAGCGAAACGATTTTGTAAAAAAGGTTTTACCATTGGCTTTCACTGATGCGAACTCAACAATAAATAAAATCAGCAACGTCAGAATCGAACAAGTCACGCCTTAATTATTAGAACGTGCTCTTATCGAAATTCAACTGCAGTTAAACGTGTAAATTAAGCTGCTTACAGCAAAGTAATTCTTCTCCATTGAAAGTAATGAACCTCAGCTTCGATGATAGAGCAGAATATTCAGGAAACCATTTTATTCAGCTGAAGAGCCAACGAACACAAGCAAATGAGCTTCAGGCTTGCAGCAACACGGTCAACAAAGCTGTAAAAGACGCATTTAGATGCAAAAATCGATATTAATGCAAAACATTTGTCGTAGAACAATAGTCAGGAGCAATTTTCTTGCATGTATAAATGTTATTATAATATCATAATGTAATATCATTATTATAATGATAATATCATTACCATCGTTCTGCATAATGAGCCGCTAGAATATTTCATACAGGGCCCCTTCCAGTGGATGCGACGGTGAGGCTCGACACTGCTCGGTGATCTCTATCGCGAAAGAGTTGGAAGAGTTGTCCAAGCGCCTCGCTTCTACATCTCGATGGATTGCTTAAAGGATGCGGAAGACGAAGGCCATAACTCAACAAGATCGGTGAAAATGCCTACGAAACTCGCCAGAAACAGGTTACGTGCGGAATAACACTGCGGCTAATGTAGGCTCAAGAAACTACTGGGATTTCTCACGATCCGCTTAGTAATAGTCAGGACGCGACTGGCAAACGATAAAAGGATATCATCAAGATCTTCTGGCGAGCAATAGCACCAAAACTCTTTCATCAGACGTCTTCGTCGAAATCTGTATCAACTAGGCGAAGATGACCAAAACAGATATTATAAAGGCATGTGAGAAACTGGAAAATCCGCTGAAATTACCGCATGTAACAACGGTGATCAAACATTCTTCGTGAAAGCGAAAGAAAACCGGGCTCAAAGCGACGACGTACATTCATTGTAAAGAGGAGGGTTGTATCGCTCGTAGCGATATGCAACTTCACGTCACCCGGTGTTGCCGTATTAATTCTGCTGGTGGGTATGAGGTAGTCATCAAGGATAATCGATTACTACAATATAACACGACAAGCGGACGAAAAAGAAGTGGAACAGTTATGCGAGAAACTGGAATGAGTGAGGCATACGACGTTCACGTACACAACTGACCATGAAAATTTAAATGGCTTAGTAGCAAAGGTAATAAACACGGGTTCATCGGCCGATCTGGAATGGAGAGGGGCGAAACCGACAATTCGGCATCCTCCCCATAACATTTGTTAAAATAAGTGCTTCGACATCATGAATATTATGTTTGAAAATAACCAGAAAAGAAAGACAACGTTAAGGAACTAAAGTGGAACGACTCTTAAGAAAACCGAATACATGCTGATGGCCACAAAACACGTAGTAACAGATATGTCTGTCATTAGAGAAAACATCGTCATTTTGGAATCACACCGCACATTCTTTGCTTTAATCACAATCGATATCGTTAAAGAAGATCAAATTTGAAGGGTTCAGTGACCACCAGTCATTTGACGAATATCCAATCCTAAATCATTTGCAGACAAGCATTGTCAGATAAACTTCGCCACAAACATCAGAAGAGGCATCTATGAAGACAATCATCTGGTCCTCTAGCCGGGCAGCAATTTCGAGGAGAAAACTATGCAGCAGACATGTACACAGGAAACGATTGGCCGGAAGAGAGAGGATGAAGACTGACTGGCAACCGGACCACCAGTACACTCAGTTGTTAAAAGAAATACGGAAGAACATTCAGCAGATCATGATGAGTACTGGAGAGAAAAGCTAACAGATGCTACAATATAAAAGAACAGCCTGCAGGCCACTGAAAAAGTCGTCATTCCAACATCAAATTCGGATTCTAGTATCACTAAAGGACGAAGCACAAGGCACAAAGAAGAACTACACATTACTGTGGCATGAGGACGTAAACAACATTTACTCCTTGAAAATATGGTTAAACAGGAAGTTGCTGCAAATTCTTAGGGAAACCGTTCATGATATAACCTCCGACGAAGCAGAATGAACAGTCAAGAATATCAAGAGTACCACATGCCCGACAAGGACAGTATAAAACCAGAACATCTCAAGTCGGATCGAAAGAGTTATAGAATACAGAAGCACGCGAAACCCTTAAGCGATTCTTCTATTCAAAAAATGTGATGCTGATGACCTGTAGAATTGCTGACTTATTACTTTCCTGTCACACGGCTACACAATCCTTACCGAAATTGTCCTAAACACTATGCAGTAAGATCTAGAACTGCTTGCTAGTAAGGAACAAGGTTCTTCACCACAGACATGTCCACTTCTTGAAGCAGAGAACTGTAAATGCCATCAGTCTCCTCTGCCACGCATTCGTCGACTTCAAGAAAGCACTCGATTCCATGTGAGTTCTGTACTGAACGAGTTGCATGACTGCGGCATCAACCGTATCTATGTCGATCTGATCGATCAATTGAAAATACTGATACTGCAACCGGCATGAAGCTGTTCGAGCAACCGTGTCGAATCAACATCAAAAGAAGATTCGTCAAGGAGACACTACCCGTGCAAAGATTTTCGTATAAGCCATAAAATCCTTTAACATCGACGGAGAACGGTTCACCAATCTGCTCCTTTCATATGACCTCATCATATTCACCAAGGACTCGGTGGAACACCAAACAAAGATCCTGCAGTTCCAGAAGGATTTACACGTCTGAAGATGAAGAACTCCAAGAGGAAATAAACATGCAAACAGTACTGACCGGTGAATAGCATCTTATTTGACAGGAAGAAATGGAAATACCTCCCTTCACCTAATAGACTCCAATAACATCAACAGCGAGATCAGTAGAAGAAGAAAGACTGCATGGTCGAAGTTTATCCACGTCAAAACATCGATGCCCAGGAAAAAAGGACTGCTCGACTCCGCCATCTTGTCCGCCATGATTTTTGGCCCGGAGGGCTGATCTGCCACCATAGTTGGTGAAGAGAAACTAGTTGTAACGCCACGGGGGATGGAAAGAAAAGTATGCAAAGTCTCAGTTCAAAAACACGTTCCAAGTGCGTTAATTTGGCATCGGACAAGATTTTTGGATGCACCCACTGCCGAATACGATTCCAAGAGACCAGGGGTTAGCCATATGACTCGTCTGAAGGACAGCAGGTGAACATCCCGAGTTTCCCACCGCAAGCTCCTCAGTAACAGACGTCAATTCGGTCGTCCAGCAACATGCTGGGACAACCAAATGACGAGGTGGTTTGGTGAACAGTGGAAGTCAAGGGACTAACACAGATAACAGTGGCGTAACGTTGACTCGCGTCTTTGGAGCGGCTGCTGCCGAACACAAGTGAAATAAAAGAAGATAAAATATCAGTATTACTGCATCATATCATACGATTGTGGCGATGCTTCGCTTTCAAATTTAGCTTCATTCGTGCCTGTTTCGCTATTTATGTTCAAATATGCCTGTACATAACAACAGCAAACGGAACAACAAATCATTTATAATTTGTTTTAAAGTATCTCAGTCCTTAATTATCTTAAAAAGTTGAAAGTCAGTAACAGGTAGGAAATATGCAAGAACGGACTTGAACAATCATAAGTTTATTCTAAGAAATGACAATGCGACCCAAACTCAAAAAACCGCCATGCTGCTTTGTTTAGAAGTATGACTGACCATCTAACTAAGGTTACAGACTAATCGTATAAGTGTGCAAGTTACGTTTCACTGCATTCGCTATTGAAAAACGAAATATACAGAAAGTTCTAACAGAAGGACAATTCATTGTGGTAGCCATAAAAAATACTACGCAAGTAACTAATTAAGACATTTAAATGTCATATTTATCCAATCAACCATTATCTATAAAACGCTAAATGCCAAGGTGACTTTGTGCGTGGTCGGTTATTACTCTGAAAATTCCGGGTTCGAATCTGATCATCGTAAAATTTTTGTTTTAACTTGAATTCCATGGAGCATCAAATTACTCTACGTAGATTTGACGTGACACTAATCCAAGCAGGTAGTAAATTTTTGACTCGCGAGTAATAGGGGTAGCATGATACTCTGATCCGGTGATCCCGGAAAGGACAAGGTGTACAATCATGATGTCAAATGTGAGCGCATCTTGCAGAAGAGCCAAGATAATAGCTGACAATTCAATGCAATAAAGCACAAAACGTGTAAAACCCATTTCTGACTTGTCTGATCTAAACTTTTATGATGCAGTTGTATTGTTAGCCAATGTACTTTCTCGAATGTCTGGCCAACGACTACATGTAATTAAAATCTTGTCAAATTGACAAAAGATTAAGGGGACCGCAAAGGTAGTGTTTACTGTGACACATGCCATCAAAAACGTAAAGTCTAGAACCCAGTTTCGTAATACGATATAAAGTGCGATCTCTTCCTGAGTTCTAACGTTAAGTAGGCTATCCTGGTTAGGTCAGACAGCTGATGGTGATGCTGATGCTTTCAGACAAAAGTTTTGTTGAATGTTCGACATTTGGCTGAAATTTGACAAAATTCATGGAAACAGTTTCAATAATATTTTGGTAATATGATGACGTTTATATTTTTTTCGATTGCTAATTTTCTTGGGGGAAAAATTTTTTCTACGATACTTCGATGCAACCAGACGAATAATGGAAAGGAAGTCATTATCAGCGAGGAGATCTAAATTCTTCATACCAGAATGCGCGGCAACTACTGCAACAACGGTCTGATACGGGCGACTCTTAGTGCGTCAATTCGGACTGACTTATCTAATAGCTGATTATCTAACTGTATAACTGTCAAAGTGTATTACAATCTTTTATTATTTTGTCCAGATTTAGAGAAGTATGTGAGATGGAAAGCGAATTGTCGGCAGCACATAAGCTGGACAGGTTGACGACAGAACGGAGAGCGCTGCTGCAACTGTAACGACCATGTAATCTGAGAAGCTTGCGACAGTGATGACTCTATTAC